AACAGAATTTGTTATACACACCACCGTTATCCTCAAAACGTCCGAACCGAATACGAAAAAACTAAATTTTCATTTCTATAATAGTGAGTGGGCGTGGCTGATTTTTTTATTTTTATCGAACAAAACTGGAAATTTATATCGTGTGTCTACTATGTTTTAAAACCACTGATCAATAACAGGTGTCCTTCAACTAATTTGGCCCATTTTCAATTCCAACCCGTTTGTATTTCTCTAAAATTTGAAGCCGATATTGTTATGTTTACAAAGAAGGAAAAGCTTAAAATAGACTTTAAAGCTAAAGGCGTAACACTTACAGATTTGACACGCAACCATTACGCTACGACCATTCCTACCCTCGCCCTCTCTTTCTCTTTCATCAGTTGGCGATCACAGATGGATAGATCGACATGTTTTAATCGATTCAGAATATGTCGCCAAACATGAATATATACTTATTATATGAGGCTTATGAAGTTGCCCCTTTTCGATGTTGCAAGCACTTCGACGGAATGAATATAAAGGTGGTGGGTATAAAAAAAAGAATATAACATTCGATGAAAAATCTCCAACGTTACAATTACGGTTTGCCTAATATTACATAAAATCAATGGAAAAGATTAAAAAAAACTAAATAAAAGTACAAAAAAAGAATGGAGTTCATGGCTTAGAAAGAGTTAAACGATGGTTTGGAAAGAAATGAAAAGATTGATACAGTCATTCATATGTATGGATATAAATCGCTTATTGTATACGAGGAACATGCAATCGTGTATATACATATATATATATATATATTTATATACATTTTGAAATTAATTATTGCTATTTATCTTGAAAAAAATTAACGATATTAAAGGGGGTAAATAACGTACGCAAGTAAAGAAGTTAAGCAAATAATTGGTAAGAAAAATTGAAAATTGAAATCTATATTAGTGCAAATTCCTGTCAACTGCAATTAAAGTTTGGAATATTTGTGAGTTATGAGCAATTTCTTAAATCTTTCTAACATTAAATGCATTAAAATTGCGTGCATAGAATGGACCGCTCGAAAGCAAGGCAGCTTAGGCAGAATCTTTTATTAGCCCTCCATTTGCCTTTGTGTATTCTTAACTCAGAAGATATGTGCGACGATCGACATGACAGCATTGTAAGATAAAGCACATAAGGGGATTATTCGATTGGCCACAAGCTATTCCTCTCATCTAATCTATTTAAAGCATGCATATGTGTATGTACATGACATACCTAATATGACTGTAATCCAAGAGTAATACCTTTAAACACATATTTAAAAAAATATAATACACTTAGCACAACAACAAATCAACCAAGTGAACGTGAAAGTTCAACGTGATAAATTAAAGAAAAGTTCAAACAATATATACGGAAACGTTAAAAACCAATAGAACGGTTTTTATAAACTATTATGTAAACAATACTTGATCTAATTTTTAATATTAAATTGGACGATAATAATTCGAGGCAATTTACGTAATGTTTAAACTTAATCCAGCGTTTACCGTTAAAAGAGACAATTTCAATTGCAGTTTGAATTGATTGGAGAAGTTAGAATGAATGGGCCGACAGACAGCAGTCAATTGTTGAATATTTTTGATTGCCAATCAAATTCATTTGATGGCGATATATGATGTCCATAGTTTCAGATGCGATAAAAACCAAAAAAAATACTAGTGATGCATTAATTGAGGTAAAGAATGGCTCGTCCTCCTCTCTACGCTACGCTACTAAACCTAAACAGTCCCTTTCAATATAAATAAAGCGCCCACGCCCCATTCTAATTGAAAATATTGGTTATTGTCTCTGATCTAAAGATACATTGATAATGTTACGTGATTTTAATCTACTTAATGAGTGTTTCATGCGTTTTTAATGATAATCTCGCTCCTTGTACCCGATGGTAATTAATACGTTTTTTAATTTTGTCTTTAGTAAAGAAAAAAGAAGAAACGTGATTCGTTATTTCAGTTTTTCGGCCACTCTGCATATAACGCCTTATTTCGTGAAAGCGTTGTATGGAAAAATTTGCAATTTTCCAAACTTCTCGAACGATCGAACGAATTTTTATATAGTAACAAGGTCTAATTTTCAATATTTCGTGGTCAATATGTTCTCAAAATAGTAAATTGACATAATCAACCTTATCAAATTTGGACCGCATAGGTAGATGTTTTGAATAGCTCCGCGTACAAGGAGTCTCCAGAAATGTAAGCCTTTACATGCCAAAAAGGTGTACATGTTAATTTTTGTGATGAAAAATTGTTCATGATAACAAGTTGACATAGAAATTAAATGAACGAAATTTGAGCGGCAGGCGTCTATTTCTGAGATCCCAATCCATATAACGTGCCCCATCCAATGGTAAGCTGTTCAGAAAAAGGTTTAATTTTTATTGTTCTATGATGAAAATTGGCCTATAGCACAATGTTAAATAGGGAACTTGAGGAGTTATCAGGAAAAGCAAGCGCTTATCCGGAGAGAAAGTCGAATTTCCGGTCTCTTACGATGAAAACTCAAAAATAATGAAATTATTAGGAGGTAAACTAAATTTGCAAATTTTTAGATCACGTCGCATGATGTTGTGGGCGTCCTCCAATATGCGGTCTTCCATGAAAAGTATGCTTTTGCGTGAAAATATTATGATTATTATTATTATTATTAGAAATGTAGCCAGAGAATAATTTTTAAGACTAAAGTCTTAAAGCACTAGCATCTACGGCTTTCGGCTTTATGAAAAACTCTGCCGCACTTGAGATTTGGATCCACGACCAATGAATTGGTAATCGAGACTCTTGTCTACTCGACGGCTCAGGCGGATGCATGAAAATAATTTGCAATGTTTGGTGTATAATTACCAAAACGGGTAAGCAACTGTACTAGGCAAAGTGGTGTATGGTATCTATCTAGTCGGCCTTGCTCGGCTATAATGTTCTTATTTGTTTTTTATAGAAAAATAGTACGCATAAAAATATAGATTTTCTTAGGCGTCAATATATTTGAGTATTCTGTTTCTCAGAGATGCCTTCACTGTCGGCCGGATAAACAGGCGTTCAGGCAGTTCGTCTCCTCAAAATACGTACTTTGAGTAATATATTCTATATTTACTAATAGACTGTTCCTACTGCCTACTTTAATAGAAAAGATACTGCAGGCAACTCAATTGAAGAGTACTTAATAATAAATAAAAAGCATTTTCTAAATTGGCGAGAACAATACATGGCAGCCGTGGGCATTTTCATATAATATCTTGCAAAAAAAAACAAAAAGATACCTAAACTAATAATACTTTCCATAGTAGCGGTAGCGTTTACTGAGTTTTGAAGTTTCGCTCCAGATTATAAAAACAAAATTTAATATTTTGTACAAAATTTTGACCGCCTGATTGCTAATGGATTTACATGGCTAAGCAGTGATGTGATTTATTGTATGTTCCTTAGAGGATTTCCTAAGCATTATTTATATGCTAATAGCGGATAGCAATTTACTTACACATCCTCTCACAACGTCATATGCGTTACACTTTTTCTTACTATAGAGAATTGGTTTGCGTTTTATAGTAATATTTGTTAAAATGCTTGCTCAATTATTGAAAATAAGTTTAGTCGTCGAGCATTTGTGATTACAAAGAATGCATGCCTTGAGCGTACGAAGTCTTAACATGTTTTTTATTTTCTGGAAGAGTAAACTTGTAGATGCAAATAAATTACTTATAGTAAACGCCTGTGGGTGCATTCGCATGTGATGGACGTTCATTCAGTAATAATTGAAGAAAATAATGATGATAAGAACGCAACAACAATATATACATATATATATATATATATATATATTATAACTATATAATAATTATATTCAATTATATTTTAATCTCATTGACATAATATGCAAACAGCTTTCATTAATTTTAAGCAAGCAACTCGTGTGCTCGTAGTGAAAACAAAAGCATGACTGTGACGATAAAAATAACAAGAATGCATAAAACGAACAACTTGTTATGGGATAAATATCTGTTCTCTACATTTCATGATTTTCTAGAGAGTTTAGCAACAATTCTTATTGTTAATTATGTGTTGAAAATTATGCTTTTTCTCTCTTCTCCTCCTTGTTTAATGCATACAAATCTTATTTATGTGCTTATATGTGAAATGAAATCTTTTCATATTATTTATTAAAGAAAAGTCTTTTTTTTACTTTGCTGCTGTGTATATAAATATAAATATATATATGTATATATATATATATATATATGTATATACATGCTAAATAAGAAATACATGCACAACTTATCATCGTATTGTATAGAAAATAATATGTGATTTGTATGAGAAAACGTGCAAGTCATATACCGGACTAATTGTGATCCATTGTTTGCATCAGGATATAAATATTATATAATACGATGTTTATAATATATGAGATAATAGACAAAAGTTTGTCTATAGTTTGTGCTTTAATCCAATTGGTGTGTGTACATACATGCCGCATACATATGTTGTGAATAATTAGTTCTTGAAGTGCGCGCAAACTAGCAAAGTCGTAAAAATAATTTAGGTAAACAAAAAAAAAAAAAAAAAAAAAAAAAAAAAAAAAAAAAAAAAAAAAAATTAAAAGAAGAAAAAAAAAGAGGAAAGATGATTATAAAAAAAGGAAAATGGGAAAAATTCAGGTAACACTTAATTCATATAAAATCACAAAACTTATTGTATTTCATAACAAATCACGTATATAATACGAAACAGTGAGTAAAATCTGAAAGTTATATGTTGTTGTGATAATTGTTGTTCTGCTTGTTTTAAATTAAAAAATAAAAAATATAATAAGAAAAGTTATTGAAAAGGGAACACAATTTATTTTTTAAACAATGGTGTGTGCAATCAAGTTGGAAAGGGTGGGGCGGGGGGGTGGGGGAGGGTATATTCTAATATCTTTCTCTTTCTCGCACTCTTTATGTTTTGCACGCTTGCTCTCGCTTTCCCACTTACCTTTCGCATTGCCGCAGCGTCCATGAGGCGATTATCCATAGCGATACCATAAATACTAGCAACACCGTACCCGGGCATATTGTCATTAGGGTTTTTAGAACAAATCTGAAAAAAAGGAGTTTTTTATTTTTAATTTTTTATTTTTTTTTTAATTAAAAAGTGTATTTGATTTAGAATGTCTTTCATATCATCCGGTTTAGGTATAACGACCACTTAAGCCAAAGAGTAAAACGGAACGCATTTGCACAACAGTAGGAGTTAATGGACTAGCTGAAGGATATGTGACGCACAGGTATACAAATCCGTTTTCTCAAATTTTCACTATGTCAGAGTAAGATTAAAGTCACTTAGCTGCTGCTGTAGTGTCTTATTAAAATTCTGACAAAGTCATAAAATTTTAATTAAGCTTTAATTACTACAGATGAAAATTAAATTTAAAACTTTTATTTCGATAATTATGCAAATGTTGGCTTTGGGTTTGTTAAGAAGATTTATTGCAAAGAACTTTTAATACACCTGGGTAGCTGGGTAGCTCTGTGATCTATCAGAATTTTACTTTACAAATTTCGAATACAGCAAGAAGCATCTAAATGACCTCAGCATACATTCCTAAGAGAAGCTGCGCAATAGCGGACGGGACATCACCATTAAAATTCCAGATTCCGGATTTGATTTCGATTTTTTAATTTAACTTTAGACCAGTCACCCGCCAAACGATTTGGTAATGATCAATCTAATCATTGTGATAGAAAAAACAAAAATCAATCTACCTGTATTCTCAGTAGAGAATACAATAGATCGGCTTCATATTAGACTTGTCCGTATAACACGATGAGAAAACTGCGATTGTGTTCGTATAATATAAGGCTAAAAGCGGTTCGTAGAAAACGACAATAGAATAAGACAGATTTTGCTTTCTAATGACATTTTAGGTCCAATCATTCATATAACGGATCAAGTCTCTAAAAGAAAAAGTAGGTAATGCGTATTGATAAATTTCACACTGTGAAGAAAGAACATTTATTGTTCAATGGTCATAAGAGTTGTTGTCATGTGGCTTAATATTATAAGCGCACGAATCTAGTCATGTACCAAAGCATCGTATGTTAATCATAGGACTCTATATAAATGGTTTTTAAGTTGTATAAGAAAAACTGCCAAATAATATCAAATCATTTGTTAATTGAATAAATATATCTATACTGACACATACAGGCTGGCTAGCAGAAGATCCTACCATCTATTAACATCCAATTTTAGATTGCTATATATCATAGCTTGCTTATCAGCCACATTTTTTTCTATCTGCCTTTCAAATTTCATGGGAATGTTTGCAAGTATATGTATGTCTAAGCATTGAAAATCATAGCGAAAAGATGTAGCGAACTTGAAAAACTATTTGAGTTCTTCAAGATCATACAATAGAAGTTCCAGCACGAGAGCAGCAGTATCGAAGTCTCGCATCCATCGTTAATTCCATTATCCTATCTCTATTCTATGCTACCTGAATATGGGAAAGGCAACTAAAAAGGTAGTCATCGCCCGCATTACAATATTTCCGGCAGTTAGATGAGCTATCAAATAAATGATCACACACTTGGGCTTAAATGCATTATCGCTTGCAAAATATTGTAATCAAAAGTTCCTTCTTTGATTCGTAGCCAGTCGTTACTTCTCGTACAGCTTTAAGAATTATTCTTCCTATAGATTATATCTGTGTATCAATCAAGTGGGCAGGTATTTTTCAAGCATAAATAATGTCAACTATTTCGCCAACTTGTTTAATATGAATTAGAAGCTAAGCTTTAAATAAATCGTCGTAAGTTGAATTGAATGAGCAAACAGATACAAAAAGTATATATGTACGTAAAGAAGAAAGAAAAGAAAATTATTATCGCTTACCTTGTATTAAAGTTTATTCTGTTTAGAGCCCCTATGCTCCGTGATGAGGCATCCGTGAAGAGTTTTGAGTGCAATAGCATGACACGACATATTAGATATAAACGCAGGAACATGGGTAATGATAAAGCTACGTCGTATGGCACCATTTCGGTGCCAATTGTTTTATTTTTGTTTGCCAATTTTGTTGTCCATTGAAAATAATATTCGCCAGGAATTGGATGTATAGCGCATATAAAAAGTTCTAAACCTATTTGACTAATTCGTTGCCATGTCATAGCGATTCTCCAATCGTCGGCACAATTGTCAATCATGAATAACTGCAAAGTAACCAATTGTCATTTAACGACGGATGAACGAACGGGACAAGCAGATTTTGAGCGTAGACCAATAAAAACAAAAAAAAAAAAAAAAAATAAATAAATAAAGGAAAAAAAAAATTAAATAAAAGAGAAGAAAAGAAAAACAAAACAATATGTATGTAAGTGTATTCGTCATTAGAAAGACAAATAAAATTAGAAATTTATCGATTTATTATTATTTGTGACGGACATTTCTTTTGCCTTAAAACCGTGTAAGCTACTTAGCAACCGAGAGACAAAGAGAGTCAAACACATTCGTAAGAGTACTGAAGGATTGTTATCGGCACTTCACTGAACATACAAATTTAATACATAAATTATTCAAATATAAATACAAATACAAATACAAAATATATTTTATTAATATACGCTTATACATACACAAACACACACACACACACACACATATATATATATATATATATATATATATATACATATATATACATATACATATATACATATATATAGATATACACTATGTACATACACTGAGATTGACATTTTCATTCTTAGGCATAGACAATGGACTAACTTAAGCATAGACAACTTTATACAAAAAAAAAAAAAAAAAAAAAAATAATAAAAAAAAAATTTTTGAAAATGTATACATTTTCAAGGTTAAAAATTCTTGTTGCGTAGGAGGGTGCAGGGTGCGCACTTACACTCTTTTTTAAGTCATTTATTTACTTATTTAATTCATTTTAACTATTATGTGCAGAATTATTATATTTTTTGAATGCCATTTATCAGCTAAGCTTAACTTGTTTCATATTATATTATACGGCCGCCAGTAATGGCTACCATTGTAGTAGTAGTAGTAATAGTAGTAGTAATAGTAACATGTGGATACTATTATTATTATTAATGCAAAAAAAAATTGAACTAAAATCACTTCCATTATAAATTTTCCGGTGCTTTTATGGTTCATGTTGAGCTACGCTAAGTGACCACAATCTATTAAACTCTTTTCGGCGATCTATTTCGAATTGGACTTATCGTCCGTCTCACTAGGTGTACGCATATGCTTGCATAGGTGTTTATGCAAACAGCATGTACACATGTATGCATATTTTTTAAATGATTAAAATCATAAAATGTCTCACTACATAATTTAACACACACATACATATATATAATAAATTACTCACAATATTCGGCATTAATTTACTTACTGAATTCTGTAAAGAATTATGCAAAAATTTAATTATAAAGAATTTATATTCAGAGTTAGTGATGGGAGAGATTTCAAACAGATTCAATTTTCTAACATAGCACTTACACTTAATCAGATCAACTAAAGCATTCGTTCAGCTAGAAAGCAACTCGTTCATTTAGAAATTACTACATAAATATATATATGTTTGTATATAAGTCTATATAAATGCATTCTACATTTAGTTAGTGTACGTTAAAAAGATGAAAACACATTTAGGCTTTTGTACATAAGCAGACATAAGTAGATTACACATATTTGGCAAATTCGAATTGTTCGTATAGGTTATAATAGATAGCTTAAAGAAAATATTGATCGTTATAATGGACTCAACTACTAACTGCACATGAATGCAAACAATATCAACATTTTCACATCTTTCGTTAAGGCTCAATACTACGTTAAGGTAATTTAATAAAATTTCCATTTTTTTTTTTACCAAAAGCTAAGATATAAAGAGCACATATATAATATATTATCGGTCCTTGTTGTACTTTACGTCCATACTTCTCTTTTATTTGCTGGAAAAAGTGAAATTTAATTTGAAGCAAATTAAGAAAAGGATAAAAAATTATATACGTCTTGCGGCGGAACGTTGATGCCCATCACTTTATATATAAACTTTGCACTAACTGTTAATGTATTGTATAATTGATTGGAACGCTTTTAAATATGGACTAAACGAAGTGGTTTTATCTGAGTCTACTCAGTCTACTGTCTTTTGTTTGATTACTGTTTGTTTATTCAGGGCATGAGTGAAGGTTTTGCGGCCACCCTTGCTGGTAAATTTCAAATGATTATGATATTTGAATATTTGAACCAAGATTTAGATCAGTATCTCTTGGGATGGATTGTGAGTGGTGGTTTTTGTTTTTTTCTTTTTAATTTAGGCGTGACGATTGGTACTGCAGGTTGATTTTTCAACTTGATCTACGGCTATCAATCAAGAATGTGTCTGATTAGTTGAAGCTTTCTATTTCGCTTATCGCCAACGTAAGCAGTTCGCGAAGAGAGACTAGTTGACTGGACGGACAGGACATACTCAATTTACAGAGTCGCCTCAAAATGCAATTTGCTTGACTTGCATTACCTTAGCTGGTATGTTGGGATAACTCTGTCTTTCATAAAATGTATGCCTTTACATGAGAGCAAAGTATGATTTTTTACGTTTTTTCATAATATGAATAATGATTGTGTTGGGCCTTGCCCAACTATGATGCTTTTTTATATCATATTATTATGTTTCATCATCGAATAGTAAGAAGTAGATCTATTTATCTATTTAAAGGCTTACTCCTCGTAGAAATGGGACGAGATTCAGAAAATGGGTTCAATCGAAATTTTCCACATCCGATAAATATGCTGAAAGGTTATTATCTAATGATATTATTACAACGACACGTTGATAGCTAAGCGTTAATACGTCAAGTGGTGTACCGCATAAGCACCACAGCCCGTTTTGCTAGGAAATTTGAAATCCTTAACACGAGATATTAGTTAATGTCATCTATGGAGATGAAGACTGATGAAATGTTTAGCAAAAAGTAAATATATTTTGAAGATATATAAGCATATATATAACAGATAGGTTGTCTAAACTTTGTTTAATCTCTTCAGTGATTTTCTTTTTTTTTGTTTCATTTTGTATTGAAACGAATTCAAAAAACAGAAGAAAGCGGGGGAGAGCAATAAATATGGAAACAAAACAAATAACGCTCATATAGGGGGCCGCTAAGCGTAAACGACTGTTTGTCAGTGAAAAGCCTATATTCTTTTCTTTTCCAAAACGACGATCTGGGGCGTCTTCATTAGCATGCAACCGCGTTTTCCTCTTTCATTAGTTTGCCTCTCTGTAATAATTTGGATCTCAGTTAAATCTTGGTTTTTCATTTTTGTTGCAGCGATTGGATTATGAGCTTTAATAAATTTCAATTCTTCTTTTCGCGTTCAAAAACTACGATTCAGATCAACTTGTGCTTGAGAAAATCCTGCACGCTGATAAATTTTCGAAACAGTCTGTTCTTGTCAAGAGAAACAGATTATTTTTGTCAAGACTCTGGCTAGATTATCCGAGAATTTTCATTATATTCTCGTTAATTTCCGATTGCGTAAGGCATCACCTTGGCATCACGATGAATACACACCTACGTGCACGTTTTTTAAATTTCATAATGAAATTTCTGGAAATTATTATAATTAAATGGATATTTATTAGGTGTATGAAAAAATTCCTGCTGTTTTTTGATATAATACAATTGTATCATGTGACAATGGTCTTTTGCAATTTATCGGGTACGTTGTGGATGTTTGCGCGGTAGGAACTTTGTCGTTCCAAAGGTGACATACTCATCGATCTATTCTTGCGGAGCTGTCGATTAATTAAAAAATGATTGCGGCGATCTGAACGAAAGCTAATCGGAAGAAATAGGTCTGGTAAAATTTTTCCGTCTAATTACATCCTGGATCGCTTTTACGGACGGCGCAATTAAAACGCTGAAAAATGCAATTCCATGAATAACATCCATCTGTTCAATTTTTGACGTACACTGAACGGCAACTTGTCAATAGTTCAAACTCACGTCGTTCAAACATCAATATCTAAGTGATCTATACCTGAGATACCGGAAAAATTGAAAGCGTCAGATTACTTTTTTGAAGCAACTAGTTTCAATGAGAGAAATTTATATGTCCATCGAATAATATATGGATGCTTCACTTGCCAAATCGATTAACTCCATAAAACAAAAAGTTGAGAAAAATAATAAAATATTATAAATAAATTATTTATTATTTAGTGGCCAAAACGATTTTGTCATTTAGTGGTGTTAATACTTATTATTAGAGCAATTCGTTTTGAATATGTGCAGTTAGGAGCTAATGGAGTGCTTTGTGATATTAAAATTTAATGAAATTCCAAAAATGGGGTTAATCGATTTGGCAAGTGAAGCATCCATATGTGGTGGTGTTATTTTTATCAAATATTCCGATTAACGATTTGTTCACATCGTCGAATTGCACTGACAACGACTACATTGACGCTATTCTTACATTTCTGCAAACACAGTCAAACCATAAGGCTTGAATATTTTTTCTGAAGGAATTTTACAGTGAATATGAATGAATTGTTTTATTGCTTTTTTTTTTTTTATTAAAGGAAATAATTGTAATTGAAAAACAAGGAATGCCCATATGCATGGTCAGGGGTGTCAAAGAGTTAAGCCCAACTGGGTTAACTTATCCCTTAATGCTCTCTTATTTTTTCTTCTTTATTTTTCTTTATTGTTTTTTATGAACTATCTATCAATCTATCAGCAGTTGCATGTTCTTTGTAATATAATTGAAAGGAACTTTAGTTCCTCGATGTTTATCTCCTTAATGGGTGATAGGAATTCGATAATGATGTATTTTCGAATTCCTCCATGTGATTATTGTTATTACTTGTAAAATTTGTAAAATAAATATCAAATCAATACATAGTCACAATGGAAATAAACAACATACATATATTATAGACATATGTAGGATTAGTTCAAAGCATGAGGATATAAACAACTTAACTCTTAGCAACTGAACACAATAGCAAATAAATCAACAAAGAATTTTATGGAAGAAGCGATCTTCTTCGACCGTTTAATACCGTACTACAAACATATTAGTCGAATGCTTAATCGTTATATAAAAACTTTTATACGATTTATTTGTTAAATTTCGTTTATATGATGTTCGTCTACGTGTTGCACGT